GCAACGCCTGAAGGTTCATACGGCGTTATTCCTTAGCACCGCAGTACGCTGCTGTGATAGTGAAGAGAGCCGTAAGTGCAAAATTTTCGATATCGAGTTTTCATCAAATTTCGTCAGAATTCGTCGTTCTTTTAGATGAAATTACTGAGTTAGCTAAAACAGCAAAATTCATCCTAATTTAATGAAAACGAGACGTATATAAAAGCCGTAAGTGCACAAAAAATGACATAGTTTTTTTCAAGACAGCCGCAGGTGCATGGGAGCCAATAAAAACAGTGCTTTCCAGTAAAGTGCCGCCCTCTTCTGCCAATTTCTAACCTGAAAATTTGTTTACTGTGCGTCCAAAACGCAACCACGAAAGCATGCAGAAAATAGCACTTACGGCTGTCCTGCCTAACAATAACCTAGCATGAAAATGAAAAATACCCTTCTTATGTAATGGAAATAAAATCAGTCAATTTTCAATCATTCATACGATTTCTAGGAGTCTTCCGAACGATTAGTGGCAATTTGACAAAGAACGGAGGCTTCTTTCAATAAAAATATGTTCCGGTCAGAAGCTTCTGAGCCCGTTTTCTCAGAACTCCATTTTCGCACTTACGGCTCTCTTCGCTATCACAGCAGTACGGGCCCATTCGGAAATGACAGCGTCGCTTTCTCCTAAACGCACTCTTGACCCGAGAAAATACACCACTTCTTTTGCTCGAAGGGAGGAGGGGAGGGGGGGCTTTCGCCTCCAATATGAGTTTATGATTCACGAGAGCTCCTCGGAGTTTATTATCATTTTGATGTTTGCCCCCTTCCGCGGAGTCAAGCCCTGATAATGCAGCCGGAGTCACAGGGAGGGAGCGCCAAGGAGGGTGGTTCGAAAGGGGTGGAGGGGGAGGGTTGGGGTGCGTGGAGCGGCGGAGCTAAACCAATGGAGCGCAGATAAAACACGCATCCCCCGGATTAAAAGCCGAGTCCCATCCACTCTCAGAAATAGAATTAGCTCGACGGAGAGGAGGAAAAATAGAGCAGATAGGCTTGCCGGTTTTAGAGAATTTGTCGTCTCCCGAACGAAGGAGCGTAACTCAATTCCAGGGTTGTCAAACTGACTCAAACTTTCTCTTTTTTTCTACAAAAACGACCGGTGCAATTTTTATTCAAAATTTTGCTGATTTTTGCATAAAAGCTGAGGGAAAATCAGTGAAATTTTTAGTTAAAATAGTTTAAGATTCTCCTGGTTAGCATAAAATGGACCACTAGACAGGGTACGAATTTTAGGATTCTGATACGTGTTTCTTAACCAGAATTTCACGCAGAACACGATTCGTGCAACGAAAATGACCGAAACCAATTCCTAACCAAGATATTAACGTTTTTATTTTACACTGGTTACGAGGAATTTCGTGCTGCCCGCTGACAAGAAACTCAAAGCTCTACGTGAGTCAAATCGCGCACTACACCGGTTTCAGCAAGCTTCTCATCGAGCGATGTTCATTTCCCACCATGTGTTGTTCAAATCATAAGTAATTTGCCGTAACTGAGCCAAAGCGTCAAGATCGCGGTTGCCAGATTTTTATATCGCAGAGACGTTCATGATAACGTTTAGCGCGTGATATGAATCACGTAGAGCATTGAGTTTTCATGAGCGAGTGGTTTGAATTCACGCACTAAGAATCATTAAATATCTTCGTAAGGAGTTGATTTCGGTAATTTTCGTTGTGCGCATCGTCTTTTACCTGAAATTTTAGTTGAGAAGCATGTATCAGAATGCTGAAATTTTTACCTTTTCTAAAGATCCATTTGGAAGCGGACGTTTCGGCGTGTTTAGGAAGAAGAAACGTAACTCAATTTCGAGCGTCAAATTGACGCAAACGACTGATTAATTTACAAAAATTCACCTGTGAGTGTGCAAGTTTTATCCAAAGTGTTGCTGGGTTTCGCATAAAATCCGAGGAAAAATCTGAGACATTTTCAGTCAGAAATGTCCAAGATTCTCCTAGTCAATATACAATTTTGAAGGGGACATTTCGTCGTCTCTTGGACGAAGGGAGGTAACTCAAATCCTAGCTTGTCAGTTGAACAATTTTACACAAACAATGAAAAATTTTACAAAAATGTACCGGTGCATTTTTATCCAAATTATTGCTAATTTCGTGTAAAATCTGAGGGAAAATCAGTTACATTTTCAGTTAGAAATGATCAAAATTCTCCTGGTTAATTTTCAATTTGCGAGGGTACATTTGGCAGCATTGAGATGGAGTTACGTTATCTCGTGCGGGAAAGGTTTAGTGAAGAATTGATTCTTAAGGTGTTCGTCGTGAACACCAGTGGCGTGGCGTGCTTTGCGATATATCGAATGATCTGCCATTTAAACCTATGGAAAAGGATCGATAAATAGGGTGTTCGCAGCGAACACCTTAATAATCGACTCTTTACCATAGGTTTAAATGGCATAACAATCAATACATCGCAATTCACGCCACTGGTGAACACCCTGTCCGATCCTTTCCATGAGCTCAAAACGTATATCAATCTATGTATCGCAAAGCACACGCCGCGCTACAGGTTCCATGATCAAATTCCTCTTTGAAAATTTTTCAAAAATTCCCGCAATCAGAGGCAGTGCCTCACAATTTTCAAGAAAATTATCATTTCTGAATTTTAGCGACAATTATGGACTAAAATTTTTAGAAAATTGCCCCATAAATTTTTAACGCTGAACCCATCCATGGCCTCATGGGTATACTACAATCTCAAGTAAAGAAATGATTTTAGGGGGTCTTGGATTCTTTGAGAAAAGAAACTTGGTCACCTCTCGGACTTTCTGAAATTCCCCTTTAACATTTCGAAATATTTGAAGTTACGGCTGAATTCAGCTGAAATGATTATTGGGGCTAGCCACTTTGATGAGCCTTCTGAAATTTTTTGCTACATGCCCTTTTTTGGATTCCAAAACACACTTAAAGATTTTGGAGTAAAATTCTGTGCTGAAGTCTATATAGCGCCTAAAATCCTTGAGTGATATGAGCGCAGAGCGGAATATATACTCCTTATAGAATGACCAACTTCATTGCGGGGCAGAATCTAACTCTTTTTTTTAGAGTGTTATGCGATTTTCTGCCGTTCCAAGGAAATTTGCTGTCGAACAATCGACAGTTGCCTAATTCCTTTTGATCATATATGAATTTTCAGGGAAACTTGAGAGTATTTTCCGTCCAATTTTTCAGAGAATTTTCTTCGTAATTAGATCTGCATCATTTGAAGGTTTCAAGAGAAAATATTCATAACTGTCCTCAAAAATAAACATTCTTTTGAAGGAAATTTGTCAACTCTCGAATGTTCATACGGCGTTTTACTCTAGCACGGCAGGTCTATGGTGTTAGGAATACCACTTCATATATATCACTCTCGGGGCTTTTGGGCGCTACATAGACTCCGCGACTGAATTTCGCACCTCGAGTTTTATCAGTGCAAGTCCAATTTTTAATTGAATCAGTGAGTTCGGAAACACACCAACTCGGGTTTTTTTCGATTTTCACTTTTTTATGGTTTCGTACTACTTATAGATAGAAGCATCTGCACGCAAAGGGAAATTTCGAAATTGCAATCGGAAGTGCTCGAAACAGCGACGGGAAAAGGGAAAAATCGAAGTATTTCATTGGAAATACCAATTTTTGGCCATTTCAAAGGAAACGGGTGACCATTCGATCTTGCGGTTTTCTTTTTTCGGTTCAGTATGCCTTGTGCCAACAAGTTATACAAATATTCAGGCGTTATCCAAATATTCAGGCGTTATCCAGGTCGAAAAATATAAATTTCTAGGGCAGACTATGAAAAATCAGTATCTGAAAGTCGGTGAGAATGAAAACACACCAACTTGAAAATTTTTAAACGCTTAATTCTCTGTCATCAACTATGGTGTATCGATTTCAACTTGGTGCTTTACAAAGTCTCCAAGTACTTGTCCTTCGGCACCAAAAAGGTTTTTCTTAAACTAACTTCTTCGCCCGCTGCGCAGTTTTAAGTGGTTCCTGAACAATTTTTCTTTCCGAGTTGGTGTGTTTTCAGACTCACTTTATCAATTGTGCTTGTGTGTGAGCTTTTTACCTCTGCACTGAGATTTTCAGCTTTATGCTGATTTCTAACGCACCTTGGCTTAAAAATTACAACATTCTGTCTGACGATTCGCGCGTCCACCGCAATCAGTATCTGAAATCAGTATCTCGGTGAGAACGAAAACACATCAACTCGGAAATTTTTAAACGCTTAATTCTCTGTCATCAAACATGGTGTATCGATTTCAACTTTGTGCTTTACAAAGTCTCTAATTACAAGTACTCGTCGAAGGTTTTTCTTAAACTAACTTTCTCGCCCGCTGCGCAGTTTTAGGTGTTTCCTGAAGAATTTTTTTTCCGAGTTGGTGTGTTTTCGAACTCATTGATTCAATTGACTTTTCAGGCTACGTTTACATGTTGAACCAATCGATATCGATACAATCTCGCCTGTTTGATATATCGAACACGATCCATAAGAGGCAAAAAAAAAAATTCAAATTACTCAATTGACTTTTGAGGCCACGTTTACATGTTGAACCAATCGAGATCGATACAATCTCGCCTGTTTGACATATTGAACACGATCCATAAGAGGCAAAAAATTCAGATTACTCAATTGACTCTACACTTTATATGTTTTTGTCATCAGCAATGAAAATTAGATCTTTTATCCTAAACGAGTAGACGAGTAGACCCTTTATTTTTACACTTTTATACTTTTATACCTGGCTTATGATGCTTTTGTTTTTTTTCCCTTTTTAATGAACCTTATATACTTGTCAAGAACCTCTTCTCATAAACCCGTTATTTTGGGTACAATAAAATACTCCTCTATTCTAACTAACTTCTTCGCCCGCTGCGCAGTTTTAGATGGTTCCTGAATAATTTTTTTTTCCGAGTTGGTGTGTTTTCGAACTCACTGATTCTATTGATTATTGACGAGGAGAAAGAAGGCGATTTCGGAGTCGACTCCTTTATTCCACTATCTAATTATTATATCCGTACACATGAACAAGGAAGTTGAATCCATGACTCCGTTCCGACATGAAGTGGAGGCTAACGTTCTTGGCGCCGATGCCCCCTTTCATGACGTACGCCCAACCCCCGTAACCATTGGCCTTCCTGTCCAGCACCTGCAGGCAGTTGATTGTTTTGTTGTTCTTCTCGCCCATAGACGGGAACCAGATGTCCGTCTCGACGATCCAGAACTTTACCGCAGACCTTTTCACGACGCGAAAGTGGATTAGGCTGGAACAGCGGGAGAAAAACAACATGGAATTAAGTCAGCGAGCTTTTGAATCCTTTATATCAATACAAGAAGCATGTCGACGGTGAAAGTCGGCAATCACATAACTCGTTTGCGGTGTCTGAAAATCTCCGCCTCTACGTCATTGTTTTAAAGGAGATCAAATTGATATTATTTCTTGAAGTTTTTGCAGAATTTTCTTCGCATTGAGAAGAAAAATCATGACAGTTTTAAAGAATTGCCGTTGAGTAGTTTTCCATTTAAAAAATAAAGTATGACAGGAAGTCTGCGACGTCGCAAACCGAGTTATGTGATTGCCGACTTTCACCGTCGATGTATCATTTTTGCGGTGTTTCAACATTTTTTAAACTACGAATTTATTTTTTCGAAGATAAACACTGGTAAAAAACACAGTGGATCGAGAGTCCAGACTCTTGAAAACATTGACAAGAATAAGGACTTTTGATTCAATCCGATTATCATTCATCAATTTATTGGAACCTTGAATTTTCTTCGGATACTCCCGATTTTTTTAAGAAAATGTCGATATCTCGGATCGAACCAACCTGATAGAAAAATCGAGGTAATATTTGAAATCAGTGCTAAACATCCACGGTAGATCTACTTCCCCTAACTTTTTCGCGGATTAGAAGACTTTTCTGTTTAGTGACAGATGCGATCAAACACATAAATTCCGAAAAGAGGAACGGTGCTGAACATGAGCTTGAAACATTGGCTGATTGTTTACTGGAAAAAAAAAACAAATTGCATCTAGAGTCCAGACTCTTGAAAACATTGACAAGAAAAAATAATCTTGATTTAATCGGATTTTTGCTTGAATCAAAACGGAATCCGCTTAAATTAAGAGGCTTGGTTCTTGATTTAAGCTTGATTCCGATTGAATCAAGAGTACTTTTCTTGTCGATGTTTTTAAGAGACAGGACTCTAGATCCAATGTGTTTTTTTCTCCGGTGAAGCCAACTTTATAGTTGCAATGATAATGAAAGCAAGGCCAAAAAGAAGGAAAGTAGACTTAAGGTGATTCGATGGACGCCATATTTTGTGTCAGAACGGCATGCGATATATCGCATCAATTGGTTCCATTTTTTCAGCTACTCGTCATTTTTCTCCAATTTTGAGATCGCAATTCCGTTGTCAGGAGACTAAAGCACTCACTTAACAATTTTAACAAAGAAATTGAACGTATTAATGGCGTTTGTTTTTTCAGAGAGAAAATATCGCATTCGAGTGTAGTTTCGATTTCGGTATCGAATTCGGTATCCAAAAACGGTTAAGGTAATTCGATGGGCGCCATACCTATTTTGTGTTACAACGACGTGCGATGTATCGCATTGATTCGTTTCTTGTTTCTAGCTTCTTGTCATTTTTATCGAATTTTGAAATCGCGTTTCTGTTCTTACGAGACTGAAGAATTCACTCACCAAAATTGACAAACTAACCAAACGTAATAAGAGGAGGGTTTTTTTCAGGAGAGAAGTATCGAATTCGATACTGGTATCGAAACTGCACTCGAATGCGATATACTCCCTCTAAAAAAACCCTACCTCTATTGTTTTGAATTTTTTGTCAAATTTGATAAGTGAATTCTTTAGTCTCGCGACAACAGAAAAGCGATCCCGAAATTTGATAACGATGGCAAGCAGCGGAAAATATGGAATCAATCGATGCTACATATCGCATGCTACTCTGACACAAAATATGGCGTCCATCAAATCACCTTAACTTTACACCGCACCGCCCAGAATATTTGACTCTTTTTGTATGAAATCCGTCCGTTCTTTGCGCTAAAGTCCTTTAATCGTACACTGTTTGGAGTTAATACGTAAACTAATTCATTTTTATCATAATAACAAGCCTGTTTACACTAATTTTGAGGAAAAATACAGTGATAAACGCGCAATACCTGTCTCCATCTCTCCGTTTCCCCAAAATCAGAGAATGGTTTTTGCCTTGGACCTTCTCCATATGCTTGAATCCTGGATGATGATGAACGATTGGCTTATATTTGTAGGCTGTGTCTATGTTGTGGTCCTCTGCATGTTTTGTGAAGTCAGATTGAACTGCGGCTACGAGAGTCAACGCTAATGCCAATGCTAGTTTTGTTATCATTTTGAGATTATTTGAGATCCTGGAAAGAAAAACCATGCTTATGAAGTAAGAGTTAACCTAGTTAATTATACTGTCAAAGTGGATGGTTTTCGGGTGATCTTATTGAGTTTATTTAGGGAGACACACAACGAGTCCGTCCATAAGAAATTTGCACAGAGGACAAAGGCAGGCAAGTGAAGTCATTCAGGCCTCGAGGAAAGTCTTAAAATGATTTTTTTTTTTTTGCACAAATTTGGAAGATAAAAAAATAATGCGACATATAAGCTGATGAATATTTGATTGGACAAGTTCCTAGAATTTTTGGTTTAGAATTCAAAACTTCAATGTATAGTAAATATTTAGAACCCCTCTCTCTAACAGAGAGAACACCTCCTCAGAACACAATTTACATTGTTGGTACAATTTTACAATATTTTTATTATTTTGATGAAACATTTCATTACCAACATTGACCGCGTCAACACTTTCGTCAAAAATGACGGCCTTTAGCGTGAGATTAGGCAGTTTAAAAGCCGATTGGCAGTCAGATTTTAATTTCAAATTGATCAAATGAAGTCAATATCATTTATGAAACTAAAATTAAAGAACGGAGGAAAAGATACAAGTTTTTTTTTTTAGACAAAAATCGTCAAGAACCTATTTGTTAGTTAGATATAAATTGATCAGTTGGCTCAGGATCCACTGGAAAAAAACACATTGGATCTAGAGTCCAGACTCTTAAAAACATCGACAAGAAAAAGTACTGTTGATTCAATCAGAATCTAGCTTAAATCAAGAGCCGAGCCTCTTAATTTAAGCGGATTCCGTTTTGATTCAAGCAAAAATCCGATTGAATCAAGAGTATTTTTTCTTGTCAATGTTTTCAAGACTCTGGACTCTAGATCCAATGTGTTTATTCCCATTGTTATCCAGAAAATAAAATCTACTGCAAACTGGGCAACACTGCCTACATATTACCAAAAATTCCTTCAAGAAACTGTTGACAAAACTTTTTCTTCTCTATCACTAGGTTCTCTTTTACCAAATTCCTTACACTGTATTTATGAACTGAGCACTGGAAAAAAAAGCACTTGGATATAGAGTCCAGACTCTTAAAAACATCGACGAGAAAAATTACTCTTTGATTCAATCAGAATCTAGCTTAAATCAAGAACCAAGCCTCTTAATTTGAGCGGATTTCCTTTTGATTCAAGAATTAATCTAATTGAATCAAGAGTCCGTTTTCTTCTCAATGTTTTCAAGAGTCTAGACTGTAGATCCAATGTGTTTTTTTTTTTTTTTTTTTTTTTTTTTTTTTTTTTTTTTTTTATTTATTTATTTTTTTTTTCCAATGAAGCCCATCATTATGATTACTTACAAACAAAGATGGAGCTAAAAAGCCGGAAAAAAGCTGATAGGAACTTAAGTTAGGAACAAAAAGTATGATCACTGTAACGTCGTAACGATGCTGAGAATGGAAACAGTACTGACCTTTGCTGTATTGATCGGGTCTTTTATTGATCGAAATCGCTCTACAAAACCTCTCAAGATCCTCACGTCTGATACGTCCAGATGATATCAGGCACTCGACAATCACTGATGCAACTTGCACCGAGCACGATGCACAACCAGGCTTGACATTTAGCCTGTGCAGTATGGTCATTATATAAAATCGCATATATGACGCCTTCGATTTTTTTTGTAAATTCTGAAACTCCGTTCAAAGTTGCCGTCACGCACCTAAAATGGTAAAACTTTTAAGGTGATTCGATGGACGCCATATTTTGTGTGAGAACGGCATGTGATATATCGCATCAATTTGATCCATTTTTTCAGCTACTCGTCATTTTTCTCCAATATTGAGATCGCAATTCTGCTGTCAGGAGACTTACCAATTTTAACAGAGAAATTCAAAGTAATAAAGCCGTGGTTTTTTTAGAGAGAAAATATCGCATTCGAGATCAGTTTCGATTTAAGAATCGAATGCGATGTTTTCTCTCTAAAAAATCCACGGCTTTATTTCGTTGAATTTCTTTGTTAAAATTGGTCAGTGAGTGCTTTAGTCTCCTGACAACAGAATTGCGATCTCAAAATTGGAGAGACATGACGAGTAGCTGAAAAAATGGAACAAATTGATGCGATATATCGCATGGCGTTCTCGCTCAAAATATGGCGTTGATCGAATCACCTTAACCTTTCCATCGAGTGAAATTTAATGTTTTTCCATGAAATTTCGCAATACTGGCTCAAAGCGGATGTTGAGGGGATTAATTTGCGTGCATTCAATAAGTGGTGATAAATTTTTCGGGGACTTCTCCGTGAAGAGGTTAGCTTGCCGTGAGTAGCAAACAACCCGGGAGGGAAACAAACCCTTGAGATGCACTTTTGATTAGTTCCTTTATGTTATTTTCGTGAAAGTCACTCACAGTCCAAAGATTGAACTTCAGAGTTTCCTACGCTATAGAATGAACTTTAAAACAGGTTCAAAGCGCTGTACTTAAACTGACGATACAGCTAGGGAAACACTTATCACGCATCCCTTTTTCCAGCATTTCGAATTTCATACGTCACTTTCTTAAAAGCCCACCAGCCATTAAAATTGGACGACATTTTTTAAGTATTTTCAGTGATGTTTTCTATGTACACGCTTAGGCGGTGGGGGGGGGGCGGCACGGACATACTGTTCCGCCAATGAACTTCAGTGAGAATTACTAGATTATTTCTTTTATTCTATATTTCTATCTAATATTTGTTTTTCAGAATCTTAGAAATAAGTGTTTTGTAGATTTTCAGTTGTAATTCCAAAAAATGACCTCAGTTTTAGGCAGTCAGTTTGATTTTGCCCTGAAATTTCAAAATTGTCCTCTAAGTTTGGACTATTACGATGAATCTTTGATTTTGCTGAACACTGATGCACGGCAAACAAGAATGAAGGTAATTTGCGAATTCAGTCACCAATATACATAAGTATGATTTTATATAGATTTGTCTGAAAATTGTCCTTGTTGTCTCGGCCGAAAAAATGACTTGACCCGAAACTTATTTGTGTCTTTGCGTCTGGAAGAAGTGAACAGACGGGACATATTTTTCGACAGGCATCGTAATTGGTATTTCCCTATACACTGCCTTTCATGCTGCTTATGACAAAAACCCCGATTTTTCCCCCAGTAATATCCAGTTACTCGAAAATTGAATTTACAATAAAATAAAGAAAAACATTTTTTTTGCTCGGAAAACTTTTTTTTTTCAAGAAAATTTGTTTTTTTTTATGTTTTAAAAAAAGAGAGTTGGCTACTGGGATAAACTACAGTCATTTCCCGCTTCAGCAGATAAAATAGGTTGGAACCACCTAATCAGCCACCAAAAAGAATAGTATCCCTCGGTTCTCCTAGACATCATATTCGAATAATTTTGCATGATGGTATCATGGGTGGATTATAATCCACCCATTTTGAGAAAAATTTTTAGTCGGATCAACCAGAAAACTACTTGATCCAATGAGACTGCTCCAATGAATATTTCCCGGAATGGAATGATACTTGAATCAACTGGAATAGCCAGTTATATTTTTTCTAGTTGAAGTAACTGGAAATTATCCTTGTTTTAAATGGATGGAATCCTTGCGGTAACTGGAATTATCCTCGGAATAACTGGCAAATATCCTTGAAATGACAGGAAAAATTACTTGGTATCACTGGAAAATTTCCAGAGACTCTGCCCCTAGTTTCTGGCCGTTGAAGACATGTATATATTTATTAAATAAAATATACATTCAAAATCACAAAATTACGGTCACCTAATTGGATTTACAATCATACCGGATTTATTGCCTAAGTTTGTCGCGCATTAAATTTTGGGACATACCCGGGGCTTGAACCCGGGAACTGCCGATTCCCAGCCTAACACCCTAACCGTTACGCCATTGCATCCGATATCACATATAGACGAAATAAGGAATGTTAAGCCACTGCGATGTTTGCGATATTCACCGATGGATGCCAGCATACTAATTGCAAGGAGTTTAATTAATTATGATATACTTTTTAATTTCGTATGCATGTCTTTTCCTTTGCTGTGTGGACAATGAACTCTCAACACTCTCATAAAACCGTTACAAGTTTCTGAGCACTTCAGGGAACATGGAATTCCAGTTATGGTAACAGGGCTTTCCCATTTGGCATAACTGGAAAAAATTTAACGATACTAGTCTAGTTGATTTAAAATGAGAAGTCCCTTCACATCAAGTACCCTATCCATTTGGATCAACTATTTTTCGGTGTTAAATTAACGTAGAAAAGTTCCAAGTAGACACTTTCGTTAAATTAACTGTTCTTTTTTCTCCGTGGGTACAAGGTATACCGAGTTTAAAACAAAATTTAATGTTGAACCCTTGCCCTATCAGTGATCGCATGATGAAAATCGCAAAACGCACCTGACTTACTCGTATTCAAGATGACACAGAATGAACACTGATCAAAATAAACCAAATCTGTGAACGTAGCATTCTTAAGTTATTTCCACCTATCGAGAAAGCTCAAGAAAACCTAATTCGGACGCATTGTGGGCTAGTTATGACCAAAATCCGGTTTCTAATCTAACAGACATCGTATTCCTTTCTGAAAGTTTTTCAAAAATTCCCTCAATCAGAGGCACTGCCTCTCAATTTTCTAGAAAATTATCATTTCTGAATTTTAGCGACAGTTATTGACGAAAATTCTTAGAAAATTGCCAGCCCCATAAATTTTTACGCTGAACTCATCCATGGCCTCATGGGTATATTACAATCTCAAGTAAAGATATTACTTTAGGAGGTCTTGGATTCTTCGAGATCAGAAACTTGGTCACCGATCGGACCGTCTGAAATTCCCCTTTAACATTTCGAAATATTCGAAGATATGGCTGAATTCAGCTGAGATAATTACTTGGGCTAGCCACTTCGACGAGTCTCCTGAAATTTTTTGCTACATGCCAATTCCGTCCAATTTTTCAGAAAAGTTTCTTTATAATGGACCACTGGACAAGGTACGAATTTAAGCATTCTGATACATGACTCTTCACCAGAATTTCACGTAAAACACGATTTGTGCAACGAAAATTACTGAAACCAACTCCTAACGGAGATATTAACATTTTTATTTCACATTAGTTACGAGGAATTTGAACCGCCCGCTCATCACAAGAAACTCAAAGCTCTACGTGAGTCAAATCGCGCACTACAGCGGTTTCAGCAAGCTTCTCAATCGAGCAATGTTCATTTCCCACCATGTTTTTTTTCAAACTATAAGTAATTTGCTATAGCTGATTGTGAGCCAAAGCGTCAATATTGAGGTTGCCAGATTTTTTTTTATCGCAGAGACGTTCGTGATAACGTTTAGCGCGCGATGTGAGTCACGTAAAGCATTGAGTTTTCATGGGCGGGTGGTTTCAATTCACGCACCAAGAATCATTAAATATCTTTGGAAGGAGTTAATTTCGGTAATTTTCGTTGTACCCATCGTATGTTTTACGTAAAATTTTGGTGAAGAAACATGTATCAGAATGCTGAAATTCGTATCTTGTCTAGTGGTCCATTAGATCTGCATCATTTGAAGACCTCAAGAGAAAATATTCATATTTTGAGATGTCCTCAAAAATAAACGTTCTATAGGAGGAAATTCGTCAACTCTCGAATGTTCATACGGCGTTTTACCCTAGCACGGCAGTTCTGTGGTGTTAGTAATACCTATTCTTACATATCACTCTCGGGATTTTTGGGCGCTACATAGACTCTGCGACCGAATTTCGCACCTCGAGCTTTATCAGTGCAAGCCCAATTTTTAACTGGACGGAGTTAAATAGAAAGGAACCAAGCCACACCGGGATCGACGTGAGAAAAAGAGGTTTAAAGTTTGGCTCCTGCATAAGACTCAATGTAAACGATAAACTTCAAGTTCAATTTCTGCAAAATTTGCTCCAACAAAAACTTTGAATTTTTGGCGGTAGATAGTAGAGCAGTGGTTGAGTTCAAAACTACTCATAATTCAATTTTTTCCAAAACGTGGGTTGGTTACTTTCTGCTGAACTCAGTCCAACTGATTATTGACAAAGAGAAAGAAGGCGATTTTGGAGTCAACTCCTTTATTTCACTATCTAATTATTATATCCATAAATATAAACAATGAAGTCGAATCCGTGACTCCGCTGCGATGTGAAGTGGATGCTGACGTTCTTGGCGCCGATGCCCCCTTGGGTGAGGTACGCCCAACCCCCGTGACCATTGGCCTTCCTGTCCAGCACCTGCAGGAAGTTGATTGTTTTGTTGTTCTTCACGCCCGTAGACGGGAACTTGATGTCCATCTCGACAATTCGGAACAATTTCGCAGACTTTTTCGCAACGTCGATGTGGATTAGGCTGGAACAGCGGGAGAAAAACAACATGGAATTAAGTCAGCGAGCTTTTGAACCATTTATATCAATACAAAAAGCACGTATCATTTTTGCGGTGTTTTTAACTACGAATTTATTTTTTCGAAGGTAAACACTGGAAAAAAAAACACAGTGGATCTAGAGTCCAGACTCTTGAAAACATTGACAAGAATAAGGTCTCTTGATTCAATCGGATATTTGCTTGAATCAAAAGGAAATCCGCTTAAATTAAGAGGCTTGGTTCTTGATTTAAGCTAGATTCCGATTGAATCAAGACTACTTTTTCTTGTCGATGTTTTTAAGAGCCTGGATTCTAGATCCAATGTGTTTTTTTCTCCGGTGAGGCCAACTTTATAGTTGAAATGATAATGAAAGCAAGGCCAAAAAGAAGGAATGTAGACTTAAGGTGGTTCGATGGACGCCATATTTTGTGTGAGAACGGCATGCGATATATCGCATCAATTGGTTCCATTTTTTCCGCTACTCGTCATTTTTCTCCAATTTTGAGATCCTGTTGTCAGGAGACTAAAGCACTCACTCATCACTTTTAACAAAGAAATTCAACGTAATAAAGGCGTGGTTTTTTTTTTAGAGAGAAAACATCGCATTCGATACTGATATCGAAACTGCACTCTAATGCGATATTTTCTCGTTAAAAAAACCACGCCTTTGTCGCGTTGAATTTCTTTGTTAAAATTGGTGAGTGCTTTAGTCTCCTGACAACAGAATGGCGATCTCAAAATTGGAGAAAAATGACGAATAGCTGAAAAAATGGAACCAATTGATGCTATGTATTGCATGCCGTTCTGACACAAAATACGGAGACTATCGAATCACCTTAAGTCAGCGAGCTTTTGAATCCTTTATATCAATACAATAAGCACGTATCATTTTTGCGGTGTTTCAACATTTTGACCACGAATTTATTTTTTCGAAGATAAACAAGCCAACTTTATAGTCGAAATGATAATAAAAGCAAGGCCAAGTAGAAGAAAAGTAGACTCAAATTAAAAATAAAGTCGCTAAAAATTTAAAAATGCAGTCGCAACATCGCCGCTGAAGAGGGAGGGCAGCGAACCCTCCAAAACGTCACTCGGGCAAATAATTAAGCAAGGAAAGATTGAGTTTTCAAATTTTTAGCAATTTTATTTTCAGTTTTATAGCTTGAAATTTTTATAGCTCCGAAGAGGGAAAAAAAGGTCAAGGAAGTTTCCAAGACGTTAAGTTGACTAGTTTCTCTAAAAAAGTGTCAAGTATGGCAGGGAGTCTGCAACATTGCAAAAAGACATACGTGGTTTTGCACTTTGGTCATCGATGTGACGTGGAAAACAGAACTTATTCCGCCATAATTAGACCATGGAGAAAATAGATTTGTTGACATAGCTGATAATACTCATGTATGCTTGGATTTACCTACTTTTCTTTTTCTACTTTTTCAGTACCAATTATTTCGATCTCGATTACAACGGCGTCCCAATTAGTACATTTAGTTCCTTGGACTAAACGATGTGTTACCGCAAACATAGGAAAATTGTAACCACGACTAGGAAAGTAGGCGCCGAAGTGTAATATGAGCATTGTAAAAGCAAAGACTCTTTGTTTTCCGTGCATAACATGGATACATTTTCAGTCGCGCAACTCTTGTTGAGTTGAAATATTTAATTTTGAAATTTTGACTAAGAACGCTTAAGGTGACTCGATGAACGTCAAATTGTGTGTCAAAACGACGGTATATCGCATTGATTATTTTCTTGTTTTCTGATACTTGTCATTTTTATTGAATTTCGAAATCGCAATTCTGTTGTCACGAGAATAAAACAAGCAGGAAGCTCCAACGCATTCGCGTCGGAGAGCGGCTCTGGCGACAGTAGTTGTAGTCAAGAATGAGGGCCTAGACACATTTTGTCACTGATGTACAATCCGACAACTGTCGATTCATGTTTTGTAACTTAGCAGATTTACATAGCCGGTGTATAAATGTGTATTGGCCCTTGATATGCAGAATGCATGGCACTATCACTTGTTGTATACTTTTAATTTTGAAGGCTCTTTGGAGGTCCGCATCCTAAAAAATTTCTCCCACAGTATTTTTTTTAACTTGTCGTTGTGATTGGGCGCCAATTTCTTTCAATTGAGTGATCATCTTCTTTTTTTGTCAAATAACTAGTTTGTGCAACAATAAGACTGAAACTGACTGTAACTGAAATTTTGTCNAATCAAGACGTATTTAATGCAATTGCATTTATATCGAGTCAATTTCTTTTCAATAATATAACGGGATTTTTACTACCGGTGATTTGGGTATTTTAGCCCCAAAATACCTTTAAATCGACTTTATCTTCTAGGAGTTCGACAGAATTTTTCCTTTCTTCGCTTAAATTATTCCGTAGCACTTTTCTTCAAGAATCTGATAAGATTTTGCTTGAGGCAGATCAAAAAACTTAAATTCGATCGAATATCTTTCTACTTTCACAATACACGGTCTCGTCAAGGTGCGTCTTTGACCTCGCAGTGTTGGATCGTGAATTCTCTTTTTATGCTGTTTGCCTATTTTGAAATCTCTGTAAATGAAAACTAAAGGGGTTGATATGTGCGAGTTAATGACGCGCCTTATCAACACATTGTGTTGGAGTTCACTGCTTGTTTTTTTTTTTGCATAAATTTGGAAGATATGTATAATCATGAAAAAAATAACGCGACATATACGGTGATGAATATTCGATTTGACAAGTTCCTAGAATTTTTGGTTCGGAATTCAAAACTTCAGTATAGTAAATCTTTAGAACCCCTCTCTCTACAGAGAGAACACCTCCCCAGAACACAATTTACATTGTTGGTACAATTTTACAATATTTTTATTATTTTGATGAAACATTTCATTACCAACATTGACCGCGTCAACACTTTCGTCAAAAATGACGGCCTTCAGCGTGAGATTAGGCAGTTTAAAAGCCGATTGGCAGTTAGATTTTAATTTCAAATTGATCAAATGAAAGCAATATCATTTATGAAACTAAAATTAAAGAAAAAAGGGAAATATACAAGTTTCTTTTTTTTTTTTAGACAAAAATCGTTAAGAACCTATTTGTTAGTTAGTTGTTCTGCCGTGATAGGGAAGAGAACAGTAACTGTCAAACTGTCGAAATCGAGTCTCCTTCAAAATTTGTCTGATCTATTTTAGATGAAATCACTGAAACAGTTAAAACAGCGAAATTTGTCTTATTTTTATGGAGACGAGAAATATGAAAGCCGTAGGTACGCAAAAAGGGACGTAGTCTCAGGCAAGACAGCAGTATCATTATTTCTCCAGAGAGCGAATGAAAACAGTGCTTTCAAGTAAAGCCCCGCTCTCTTCTGCCGACTCACCTAAAAATTTGTTGTTGTGTGTCCATAATGCAACCATTAAAGCATTCAGAAGGCAGTACTTACGGCTGTCTTGCCTAACACTAGCCTAACACGAAAATGAACAATGCCCTTTTCATTGCAATGAAAGAAAATCAGTCGATTTTCAATCATCCAAACGATTTCGAAGAGTCTTGCCGATGATTAGTGGCAATTTGACAAAGAAAGGAGGGATCTTTCAACGAAATTTTCCTGTTAGACGCTTCTTTAGCCCGTTGTTTCAAAACTTTATTTTTGCACTTATTGCTCTCTTCGCTACCGCGGCAGCGCAGTGGCGTACGTGTAATGCGTGAGGTATCCATGCAGTCTTGCAGGCACTAACAATGCGCACCGTGGAGTACGCGCAATGCGTGAAGTATTCAGGTATTCTTGCAGGCACTAACATTCCCGCGACTGTAATTAAAATAGAATAAGTTGACTTTTAATCATCCAAGTGATTTCTAAGAGTCTTTCGGACGATTAGTGGCAATTTAAGAAAGAACGGAGGCTTCTTTCAATAAAATTTTCCTGTCAGACGCTTTTTAGCCCGCTCTCTGAAAACTTCATGTATGCACTTACTGCTCTCTTCGCTACCACGGCAGAGTATGGTAACCAATTTCATCAGTCTAGAAGGAAATCTCGAGTCGAAAACGGTTAATACGAGATCCCGCTTAAATCGAAAATTTATTCGGTCTTTACCGAATTGAGACCGACTTGAGACAACGCACGAAAATGCGATTATGACGAATAGAGGGGCTTGTAAAACAAGGAAGGCCTTGTAAATCAAGAACCAAGCCTCTTAATTTGAGCGGATTTCCTTTTGATTTAAGCTTAAATCTGATTGAATCAAAAGTCCATTTTCTTTTCAATGTTTTCAAGAGTCTGAACTCTAGATCCATTGTGGTTTTTTTCCAGTGTCAATCACTCGGTTCTCTTTTACAAATCTCCATTAATACAAATATTTATGAACTAAGGCCCATCAGTATGATTACTTACAAACAAAGATGGCGCTAAAAAGCCGGCAAAAAGCTGTTAGGAACTTAAGTTAGGAACAAAAAGTATGATCACTGTAACGTCGTAAATGTGTTGAGAATGGAAACAGTACTGACCTCTGCTGTATTGATCGAGTCTTTTATTGATCGAAATCGTTCCACAAACCTCTCAAGATCCTAACGTCTGATACGTCAAGATGATATCAGGCACTCGACAATCGCTGATTCAACTTGCACTTAAACAAATTCGAGAACTTTTCGTCTATTGCTACCGATCATGAGTCACAACCAGGCTTGACATTTCTCGTGTGCAGTATGTTCATTATATAATATCCCATCTATGACACATACGATTTTTTTTTGTAAAGTCTTAAACTCCGTTCAAAGTTGCCGTCACGCACCTAAAAAGGTAAAACTTTTAAGGTGATTCGATGGACGTCATAATTCGTGTCAGAACGGCATGCGATATACCGCATCAATTTGTTCCATTTTTTCAGCTACTCGTCATTTTTCTCCAATATTGAGATCGCAATTCTGCTGTCAGGAGACTAAAGCACTCACTGACCAATTTTAACAAAGAAGTTTAACGTAATGAAGGCGTGGTTTTTATAGAGAGAAAATATCGCATTCGAGTGTAGTTTCGATATCAGTATCGAATGCGATGTTTTCTCTCTAAAAAATCCACACCTTTATTACGTTGAATTTCTCTGTTAAAATTGGTAAGTGAGTGCTTTAGTCTCCTGACAACAGAATTGCGATTTCAAAATTGGAGAAAAATGACGAATAGCTGAAAAATGGAACAAATCGATGCGATATATCGCATGCCGTTCTCACACAAAATATGGCGTCCATCGAATCACCTTAACCCTTCCATCGAGTGAAATTTAATGTTTTTCCCTGAAATTTTGCAATACTGGCTCAAAGCGGATGTTGAGGGGATTAATTTGCGTGCATTCAATAAGTGGTGATAAATTTTTCTTGGACTTCTCCGTGAAGAGGTTAGCTTACCGTGAGTAGCAGGGAAACAAACCCTTGAGATGCACTTTGATTAGTCGTTCCTTCGTATTATTTTCGTGAAAGTCACTCACAGTTCAAAGATTGAGTTCAGAGTTTCCTACGCTATAGAATAAACTTTAAAACATGCAGGTTCAAAGCGCTGTACTTAAACCGACGATATAGCTAGAAAAACACTTATCACGCATCCCTTTTTGCAGCACATGTGTCACTTTTTTAAAAACCCATCAGCCATTAAAATTGGACGTCATTTTTTAAGTATTTTTAGTGGTGTTTTCTATGTACATGCTNGCACGGGCCTACTGCTCCGCTAATGAACTTCAGTGAGAATTACTAGATTTCTATTATTTGTTTTTCAGAAATTTAGAAACAAGTTTTTTGTAGATGTTCAGTTTTAATTCCAGAAAATGACCTCAGTTTTAGGCAGTCAGTTAATGTAAAAAAAACCTGGGTCATATTTTCAAAATCTGAATAAAGCGCGCTTATCTAAAGACACTTGCCTGTCGATAGCCGCAAAAATCAAGAAAGCCCAGTAGAAGGCTGGCACTAAGCGTTATCAGATTTTCGAATTTAGGAGATCTTGGAGCTTATATATATGATGGTAAAAGAATTGTTTTTACAACCCAAAACGATGCTGGGAATACTTAAACATGGTCTATGCTCGATTTTATGAAGATTACCAGATCCGAAATAATAGAAATAAACTCACGATAACTTCCTTGCATTATTATCTAAATTAAGTCTCAGTTTCGATTTCAAAGAAACCCTTTCAACCGATTATTATTCATACTTTAAAATTAGAGCGAAAAGCAAGTCATGAATACAAGTCATTCATTAAATTATATGAAGAACTAAAAGTTTCGAATGAAACAAGAGCCGAGCTCTCCGGTCTCTCACGAACAGGTCTCGGAATTAAGGTTTCGTCTCTCGGAACGAACAAATTGTTTTCATAAGCTTTGTATATTTTTTATTGTATCTCAATGATGTCATCTTTTGCTCACCTCGCGGTACGAAAAAAGCTTCTTGTTGTCTTTTTTCACGCGTTCTCCTCTCCTCCCCTCCATTCGCCTCCTAATTCCTCCCTGTGGACTCTAATCTGCCTTTATAAATTTCATTTTCACTCCAATTTGCACCCGGCTTATTATTCATTCCTAAAGAGTGACTTGAACAACCGGGAGAAAAGCGAAAAAAAAGGAAGAAAGAAGAAAAAAATGGAACGGGTGGGATCCGGCATGAAAATCTGCGACGTCCTCTTTTCGTCGCACGGTGGATCGAGTCCGTAGGAGAGGTCGGACAGAATTCGGAAACTTTAAACGCTTATAACTCCGTTTTTACACAACTTTGATGTTTTGAAAGTGGTTCCATTGGTTTCCTCGTGAAATGGAGATGTTGCATGTGTGAGGAATTTGCGATTTGACTTTCGATCCTCATGTAAACGCTCGCGAGAAACACGATGGTGCTACTGGTTTTCTCTGAAATCAACTCCCAAGCTCAAAAGAAGCTCTCAAGTTGAGGCCAAAATGGAGGGGATATCCCACGCTATCCTGAGAGTCCACGTCTACATCAAGACGAACTCTCCACTCAAAGATAGGGAGCAAATACATTGACAGGGCTGCTACCTTATTTGGGGACTCTAAAACTGAAAACACGGCAACCCTGCTAATGTATTTGCTCCCTGTCTTTGCATGGAGAGTTTGTTTTGACGTAGAGGTGGACTCTCAGGATAGCGTGGGATATCCCCGGCCATTTTGGCCTTAACTTGAGAGCTTTTTTTGAGCTTGGGAGATGATTTCAGAGAAAACCGGTGGCACCATCATGTTTCTCGCAAACTTTTACATGAGAATCAACAGTCAAATCGCAAATTCCTCACACATGCAACATCTCCATTTTCTTCTTGAAACACCCCTTGAAATTTAAATTGTGACGGAATCAACATCAAAGTTCGCAGTTTTAGTCAAAAATGTCATGTCCAACCTCTCCAATCGGCTGGATCCACTGTGCGCCGTGTTCAGAAAGAACGTCGTATGGATCTCCACGCGTTGCCTAATTTCCTCCAACAAAATCTTATCTTCCGAGAAAATGTATCATTATTTTTATTTGAAGTGAAAAGACGGATGTAATGAAATCGTGAATACAATAAAATTGATTTTTTTTACGAAGGAAAAGTTGCTTGATGCTATCCGAAAATTTTACTGAATTGTATTTTGTGCTGCCGATAAAATTCAGCGAAATTTTCAAGCAGATTCAACAATCATTTTCTCTGTCACAAAATAAAATGGCGGTAGAAATTTTTAAACGTCGCATGGAATTTGTGATATACTTTGGCCGGAAGGTGTCGGTATATCAATGGCCCAAGTGCAGAACCGCGTACCTGCGTTTGCAGACTTCCTTTCATACTTTACATTTTCTTTGAAAATCTAGTCAATGTAATTTCTTGGAAACTTCTATGATTCATCTTCTTGGTTAGCCGAATATTTTGTATGAATTTTGAAATATGAAGTTTGCTCGTTTCTCTTCGGAAATATGAAATAATTGCAGATTTTGAAACACCGCAAAACAGATACGTGGTTTCACACTTTAGCCGCATCCATACACAGGGTGTTCAAAAAGTTGTGCTTATTTCCGGGTTTTGAGCGAACAAAAGTAGTTATCAATTTGCAATTTGTGTGTGCTTAAAGTAGACGTAACTACCAATAAAATAAGATCAAGAACAACTCTCTAGCTTAAAAAATGACAGAGATACAGGGTTTTGAAAATGGCATGTAGCGTGACCGCCTCCAGGATTTTTAGCAACGAATATGTTTGTCAAGAAAAAAAAGTTAAATGAGAATTGAAAAAACTTACAAAATCTTCCGGAAATTGACGAATTCCAAGCTTCTTCATCAGACGACAGGGCTGACTCAACATTCGGCTGTTTTTCGAAGTATTTTCCACCATTTTGAACACAAAGCTTTTGCGGTTCTGCCCACTTCACACGGATCGTCTTTTCGAAGTCTCCTTGACGGAGGGTTTTGAAGATTTTTTGAACAGCGGTTTTGATCTCGGCTATGGAATCAAACCGTGTGCCTCTCAGAAATGTCTTTAATTCAGGAAAGAGCCATTCCACAGCCGAGATCAAAACCGCTGTTCAAATCAAAAGGAAATCCGCTCAAATTAAGAGGCTTGGTTATTGATTTAAGCTTTGGTAACTCTAATTGAATCAAGAGTATTTTTTCTTATCGATGTTTTTAAGAGTCTGGACTGTAGATCCAATGTGTTTTTTTATCCAGTGTTGGTTCCTTTCTGATAAACTCGGTCCAGATAATGAAAAATAAAAATGAATCTTGAAAAATGGGGCCTGCAAAAATTTGGCAGCACCTCTACATTATGCGGCGCGGCGCTTTTCCCCAGCACGGCAGTCACCCCGGGAGGATTCAAAGTTCCTTCGGAGCGACTTTGTGCCTTTTTCCGCAACTTTCAAAAGCTGCGAATAATTATACGGCGGAGGCAAGTCCGGGTTAATGAGAAGCTCACTCCTTGAGAGGCGAAAAATTAATAAAGTAAAGTATAATGGAGGACGAAGGAATGACACCGGCGTCGGAGCCTACTATTATTCCCAACTTACTCCGGTTCCCACCTCGGCTCCGTTTCTTTCAAGTTCCTCTCCCAAGTGCGCAATATTCTAAGTGAAAGATATTTTAGCAAATGGATCCCTAGATAAAGTTGAAACTCAGGTATCAAATTTCACGAGGAGCTTAGAGGGATAACCCACCTTGCACGGGGGTAGGGCGTTTTGGTGATGATTTTAAGGATCCCTTATCAAGAGCTGAGGAACAATAGCGCCTGACTGACGATTTTGGCGAAAATTAGTTAGTGACTTGGTGACAGGTGGAAATGTCCAGTCTGAAATTTCCAACTTTGAAAATGTCCAATAAAAAACACCTACAATCGTAATGCCCTCTTTTAAATGCCCATTACACAAAATGTCCAAAAATAATCGTGTTATCTATTGTCCATAGCGCTAAAATGGCATGTGACTAAAAATGCTCGAAGTAAACAACTTTACCTCTATCGTTGACACAATTATTTCTGAATTACTTGAATTTTAAAAATGGCGAATTTTACTTTGATCTGGGACTCAATTTGTTTTTACATGTCATACATGTAACATGTACACATGTATACATGTACATGTCATGTGTGTCATGTGTGTGTGTTTGTTACATGTCATGTATAGTTATTTTAATATTTTTTATTTAATTATTACTCTCGCATAGTTCCTTTTAGCATGGACACGTCCATCTGTCCTAAATAGGTTTCAAATTCGAGGGAGAGCGACAAGTAAGTATCTTTGTTTGGATTCCAAAGTGACTTGGTCGTCGGGAAAATTCTGACATTGTATCATGACAAAAAGAATTCATGCAACCGTGCTGAGGAAAAATGCCGTAAACTCTCGAAATTCGCTAAATTTCCGTTCAGAAAATATTTATTTTAAAAGATGCTTATGAATATTTTTCCATGAAATTTTCAGACTTTCTTTATCGAAATACGAACAAGTTTCTCCGAAAAATTGGGAGATAAATATCCACAAGTTTTCCCCAAACATTCGTGTTTTATCAAAGGAAATTTTGCAACATCTGAAGGCATGAAGGGCGTTTTTCTTCAGCATGGCATCGGACACAGAAAAAAAACCCTCGCGCGTGGGACCAGCAGTTTAGGCCTTATGGATCTCTGAAGTTTTCGGATTGAGCATCTGAACACTCTAGGTCTAGCTGTCGAGGTTCGGATCACACATCTGAAACTTCAGTTCTTACATCTGAAGTACTTCAGACGTGAGAACCGAATTTTTCCGGATGTGAGAACCGAAGTTTTTCGGATGTGCAAACCGAAGTACTTCAGACGTAAGAACTGAAGTTTCAGATGTGTGATTCAAACCTCAGCAGCTGGACCATAAGTGTTCGGATGCCCAGTCCGTAAACTTCAGAGATCCATATGACCTAAACTTCGGGTCCCTCGCACGAAGTTTTTTTCTCCGTGTATAGGTCCGAATATGTAAGGAAAAAACGAAGACGCTTTTCAGGTGATTCCTTTATTTCAACCTAAGACAATTAACCATTGTATCCGTATACGTAAATCAGGAAGTCGAATCCGTGGCCGCGTTCTGATGTGAAATGAAGGGAGACATTTTTGAAACCAATGCCGCCTTGGGTGAGATACGGCCAGCCGCTGTGGCCGTTGGCCTTTCGGTCGAGCACCTGCAGGTAGTTGATGGTCTTGGTGTTCTTGGCGCCGTTGGACGGGAATTTGATGTCACTTTCCACGATTCGGAACCACTTGCTGGTCTTCTTAGCCACGTCTGTATGGATCAGGCTGAAACAGAGTCAGCGAAAAACCCCTCGTGAAAATGAAGAAAGCCTCTCTTGTAATCATTTTAATATTACTGGGAAAAAAAAAACACATGGGATCTAGAGTCCAGACTCTTGAAAACATTGACAAGAAAAAATACTCTTGATTCAATCGGATTTTTGCTTGAATCAAAAGGAAATCCGCTTAAATTAAGAAGCTTGGTTCTTGACTTAACCTAGATTCTGCTTAAATCAAGAGTACTTTTTCTTGTCGATGTTTTTAAGAGTCTGGACTCTAGATCCAATGTGTTTTTTCCCAGTGATGGATCGTATTTAGCAAGAAGGAAACAGCGCGATTGCAGTGTTGTAAAAATGTTGCTTCTTCATAATTATCAAAAAATCTCCCAAAACAGTAGAAAGTGTTCGCTTCCCACCAAAAAATTGTCAATTTTAAAGGGAAATAATTGTGTAAATGTTATTTGTTAAAGGAAAGAAGAATTTTACGATTTTGAAAACACTGCATGTAATCGCGTTGGTTCCTTTTTGCTAAAGTCGATCCATATTACCCTCGCACCAATATGCTGCAATGAGAGGTCTGGGCCGCACTTTAATTCGTAGAGCGCCTGCCTCTTGCAGGCTGATTTTTAAAATTGATAGACAAAGCTATAGACATAATAGACGCAGGGAAAATGGAGCGACTAGCGGCATTGGTGGACTAACTACAGGGTCTCTCGTGGGTTACCGTTAGTTAGCCTACTTACCTCATTTGTCCATTGCACCCACCCGGTTCCGCCATTTGGATTGCTCCTTTTTCTCTTCGTATTCTTTGTCTACAGCTTTGCCTACCAATTTTCTGTTTTCTGGTCACCACGCGACCCAGCCTCTAGAGGGATACTAACTGTGCCTGTGAAGCTCTATGTGTAGAGAGAAGGCTTTACAGGTCAGTATCCGTCTATAACCACAAAAATAATTGAAATCGGCCCAAGAGATAGCTAGAGTGAACTGTGGGGATAAACCATTATTTCTGGAGTCAAGAGAGCTAAAATATGCCTTTCCAAGACAATTGGCTTATTTGAACACCGGAAAAAAACACATTGGATCTAGAGTTTAGACTCTTGAAAACATTGACAAGAAAAAGGACTCAGATTAAAGCCAGATTATGGACTCAGATTAAGGACTCAATCAGATTTAAGCTTAAATCAAAAGGAAATCCGCTCAAATTGAGAGGCTTGGTTCTTGATTTAAGCTTAAATCTGATTGAATCAAGAGTATTTTTTCTTGTCGATGTTTTTCAGAGTCTGTACTCTAGATCCAATATGTTTTTTTCTCCAGTGAAATGTGATGTAAATTATCGGTAGTAATAGGCTCCTTCCTTCCTAGAAGCTCGTTACTCCATAGCGTTTCTCCTCTGACAAAAGGACGTGTCTGCTGTTTGAGTTGAGCCCTATTTCCTATAGAACTCCGTGTGTTTTAGGGCTTACGCGGAAATGGAGATACGCGCTTTCGTCAAAGGAGCGACGACATGCACGCCATCTGGACTACGTTTTGCAATCAGGAGCTAAAATATCTGTTTCATCCGTTAAAACACTTATGTGCGTAGGGAAACTAATGGTGCATATGTTGTCTCTAAAACAATCCAGAATTTTTCGTTCCTAATTGCGAAATTAGTCCGTTTTCACCCTGTTGCTTGAGACGCCTGACTGGTGGCGGCTCTTCTATGTTGGCTAGACTGGGATTTGTTCCGCCTGCTGATTTCTTGACCAGTGTGATCAGCTGACCGTGGGAGTCAGTGGCGTGGCGTGAATGATCGAGTATCGATATTTCTCCATTTGCACCCGTGGTAAAGAATCGATTATTAAGGTGTTCGCTGCGAACGCCCCGTTAATCGACCCTTCTCCATAGGTTTAAATGGCTGATCAATCGATATATCGCAAAGTACGCCACGCCTCTGGTGGGTGTCGGTTCACCGACTGTGAAAAATATCAAATTTTGTTTACTTTTTCCAACCTCGCTTTGAACACACATCGGGCCGTGATCGTCTAGTGGTTAGGACCCTGCGTTGTGGCCGCAGTAACCCAGGTTCGAATCCTGGTCACGGCACTAAAATTTTCATTCCTAGCGCACAGTGCGAACACCCTGTTTATTGATCCTTTTCCATAGGTTTAAATGGCAGATCAATCTATGAATCGTAAAACACACCGCGCCACTGAAAGTCACTTTCGACTCATTCTTTAGAGCACAGAACAGAGTTTTCTATCAAAATGTCGAAATCCCATTTTTTAATTCAACTTGACAGAAATCGCTCTATTGAAATTTTCACATGCACAAACTAAGATATCTTTCCCTCCGGGTGGTCCAGGGTGGCAAAATTTCATGAAAAATAAAATCTTGAAATTCCATGCGCAATATTTAATGAAATTTCAGAAATTTATGCAAGGTATTGAAAAAAACCGGTTCCTTTTCGTGTTCCTCAAAATGTAAAATTTGCCTTTCTCGTATTTTCATGTTTCTGAGTACGGATTGCGTACTCTAGCCCCTGGAAAATATGAAATATTTCACAGCCTCGGAAACATGAAATATTTCACTGAAATTTCGAATCTTTCATTTCTTTCTTACACTGGAAAAAAACATATTGGATCTCGAGTGCAGACTCTTGAAAACATTGACAAGAAAAAATACTCTTGATTCAATCAGATTTAAGCTTAAATCAAGAACCAAACCTCTTAATTTGAGCGGATTTCCTTTTGATTTAAGCTTAAATCTGATTGAATGAAGAGTGTTTTTTCTCGTCGATGTTTTTAAGAGTCCGGACTCTAGATTCAATGTGTTTAGAAAGAAATGAAAGATTCGAAATTTCAGTGAAATATTTCATGTTTCACGAGGCTGTGAAATTTTTCATATTCCAGTGTACGTTTCATGCCACCCTGAGGTGATCCTAAAGACTTAGAATTCTAAAACACATCAAGGGTTTTTTCTATACATCCGAGTGTATCAGGCTAAGGCGAGGATGGGGCGAACTGCATGAAGATAAAGCTCGCCAAAGTTCTCATCCTCTTATTGTGTCTACGTGGGTCCTTCGGTCACTCTCTTTGAGAGGAAAGTTTCGCTCCCGCCAGGATTAGTCGATCCCTTTCAAAGGCAGTCGCGTTTCACTCCTGCAGTCCCTGAAAAGTTTCGCCGAATCCGAAACCACAATAGTGTGGTGCTCTGGCTATCTTTCAATCCCGAGATCGGCAACTTTCTCAGATAATCTATACTATAAGCTCCGAGACCTCCTAAATTTGCGTATCTGGTAACGCTTAGTTCCAGCGTTCTACCGAGCCGATTTTCATGATTTTTGCGGTTATCGACAGACAACTGGACGTATTTCTATCAAACGGACCTAAGCGCCATAGGGTGAGGAAGGTAGAAGGGGGCTTGGATTGGCGGCGGAATCGGGCGTCCGGCTTATCGCGTCCTATACTCGCAATGCTTTTCCATGGCGCTTAGGTCCGTTTGACAGAACGCGCTATCCGGGATTCAAAATTCCTCAAAAGGAACTCAAATTGGCGCGTAGTTCCGTTTGATAGAAATATGTCCAACTGTCTCTAGATGAGCCCGCTTTATTCAGATTTGGAAGTATAACCCAGGTTTCTTTATATTTAAGTTGCAAACTCTCCCATTTAAATAATTTAATTTTTTATTTTTTGTCATAGTTCGTTTGAGCGTTCTGCTGGGCCGATTTTCATGATTTTTGCGGTTATCGACAAGTGATAGTTCTTGAACGAGCTCGCTGTAATCAGAATTTGAATATAGGTACCCAAGTTTTTTTAAATTAGAGGATACCAGCAAGCTTAGAAAGGGGGGCAAAATTTGAAATTCCCGCCAATGAGCAATGGCGGGAATTCCAAAGCGGAAAATTGAAGTAAGCGGGAAATTTTGAATCTTGGTCTGTTAGTAGGGTAAGTGAATCGAAGGTACGTTTCTTTGCTACACGCTATTCAAAAGCGACGAAACCGAGTAATATTTGTCATCAAACCAAGAGAGTAATGCGCGTTTTATACCTGTCTCCGTATCTCCTCTGTCCCAAGATGAGAGAATGGTTGTTTCCCTGAACTCCTTGCATCTGCATGAGACCCGTGGGAGGAACGATTGGTTCGTGTTTGTGTGCGTGGTTTTCCGCATGTTCCGTGACGTCACACTGAGCCGCGGCGACGAGAACGAAAAATGTTACTGCCAGCTTGATCATCATATTGTGATCCTGGAAAGAAGACCAAAGCGATGGAGTTAAAACTACAATAGTTAAGGAAGGTGTCTGAGTTGACTTGGACCGCGTTAAACAGGAAGGAACCAAGCCACATCAGCTATTGCCAAATTTAATCGGGCAATTTATTTTTTTACGAGAGAACGTTTGTGCGGATTCTTTTGAAATTTTCAAGTAATTTGCTTCGCACTTTGGAGAAAATCCACAGAAATTTGCACGAAAATCCGCACAATCGTTCTCGTGTAAAAAATTAAATTGCCCGATTAAATTTGGCAATAGCTGATGTGGCTTGGTTCCTTTCTGTTTAACGCGGTCCAATTAGTCCTCTTTTAGCGTTGCGCTAGGATTTAACGTGGAACAATTTTGTAATAATAATAGTAAGAAAAAAGTTTTCACATACTGTTAAATAAAGCGGAGTGAGATTTGGCGCTGGAGTCTATTAAACCGTCCAAAAACCCGTGTTATATGAATCCGAAGGAAAATTGGACCGCGCTATGCAGAAAGAACCCAAGCTACAACAGCAATTGCCAAATTTGATTGGGCATTTTATTTTTAACATGAAATGGGTTTAACGGATTTTCATACAAATTTCAGTGAATTTTTTGCATAGTGCGAAGTAAATTCCTTAAAATTTTCAAACAAGGCCGCACAAATGTTCTCTTGTAAAGAATTAAATTGCCCAGTTTCTGACAAAAGCTGATGTAGCTTGTTTCCTTTCTGCTCGTTGCGGTCCGATTAGCACCATAAAAGCGTATGACACTCCGCAAAAAGAGTATAGTTCCGCTTCGTGATAGTATAAGTCACTCCGCAAGGGGAATTTCGGCGCGCAATCAGTGAAAAAAATCGCTTAACTTTTACTTAGGAATTCCTAATAGTTTCATAGAACATAGAATTAGTGCAATATGCGAATATCAATTTTACAGTCTTGAAATATGACCACATTTATGATCTGGGATACTAGACTTTATTTGGACCGCCTTTAACAGAAAGGAACCAAGTCACATCAGCTATTGCCAAATTTAACTGGGCAATTTAATTTTTTATGAGAGAACGTTTGTGTGAATTCCTTTGAAAATTTTAAGGAATTCGCTTCGTACTATGTAGTAAATCCACTATTTGCACGAAAATCCATACAACCGTTTTCATGTTAAAAATTAAATCGCCCAATTAAATTTGGCAATAGCAGATGTGGCTTAGCTTCTTTCTGTTTAACGCGGTCCATTTGAGCTTTTGATTTAGGTTTATCTTTGTAATCACTTACGTGAAGCTTATGCGAAAGAACTGAAAGAAAAACACGATAATGCACCTCTATCGCCACACCAACTCAACGGAGCAACTGTGTTGCGGGTGAGAATAATACTGCCCTCAATTGTGTTTATGGACCTTATATTGATGAAAACCGATCTTCAAGCCCCTCCAGATCTTCATATCCGATACGCCAAAACGATATCAGCCACTCAATGTCTGATTCAACTTGGACTTGGACAAAGTCAAGAGCTTTTTCATAAGTCTATGCATGCGCGTCTGTGATTCATGAAAATCCACGTTTGTCGTTTTTTAGGAAAAATCGTAAATTTTTCCCGAATCTATTAAACAATATTCGGATTGTGATTCGTAAAAACGGGACATATATTCACTTCCTGATAGCAGTGATGCCGCTGTATAATGATATTAATCTACGATTTAACTCTTTCATCTAAACCAATAAGGGGGCATCAACTGAATAATATTTTATAGGTCTGGCAACGTTGGATCAATTTGAAGCGGATACTGGGATGATTAATTTGCGCACTTACAAGCTCAATAGGCTGTAATCTCTTCTTCCGGAACTTTGCAGTGGAGAGGGTGATTCTGAAATGAGCTGCAGAAAACAAACACTCGATTTGCGATTTTGATTAATTTTCTATTTTTAAGTAAACTTTGCCCATTCATTTAGAACTGAAAAGAAGTCGAACATCTGAATTATTCTACCGGAAATTTTAAGTCGTTCTCAGTGGCGTAGTGTGATTTGCGATGTATCAATTGATCTGCCTTCGAATTACAGATTGGCGTTCAATGGAAATACATTGGCCTTTAGGTGAAATTTTACTGCAAAAAGATCCTACATGGCGAAAGGAATGTTTTCTCGGTGATTACCAGAGGCGGATCCAGCACTTTGGCAACACCGGATTTCCTCCATTTGAACCTATGTTAAATTATCGATTCTTGTGGAGCACCTGCCCCTCCAAGAATCAATACATTTCCATAGGTTAATGGAGAGAATCAATGTTGCCAATTTGCTGGATCCGCTAATGGTGATTACATACTTGCTTTGTGCTCTTGTACCAAGACTCAAAGTCTGAATATTCGCACTTTGCATTTTGTAAAGGTGTGTGTCGTCGATTTCTTCTTGACGGAGGAATTTAACTCCATTACACGGTAGCAAAATTGGCTCAAATAAGTCGATTTTTTACGAAAATGTGACTGGCAAACTTTTCTACGAATTTCGCTCAAAATCAAAAGAGCAGTTCGACGGCGTAAGTCCACAATCACATATCTCGTTTGCGGTGTCTGAAAGTTTCCGTCTCTATGCTGTTTTTTTAACGAAGAACAAATTGACATCATTCCTTGAAGTTTTTGCAGAATTTCTTCGTACAGAGAAGGAAACTCACGGCAGTTCTAAAGAATTGCCGGTGAGTAGTTTTCCGTTTAAAAAATAAAGTATTCCAGGAAGTCTGCGACGTCGCAAACCGAGTCATGTGAATTATGTGATTGCCGACCTTCACAGTTGAATTGCGACATTTTCAGTCAGAAATGCTTGAAAGTTTCGTAGTGAAAATAAAATTTGGGAGTCGAAATTTTGCAACGTTGAATTTTGTTACGATCTTTTGTCTGGAAAAAAGCAAAGATGAATTGCAGCCGGAGTAAATTTAAATAGAGGCGAGGACGGTGAAAAACTAAACAAATAAATAGCTTTCCCTGCAGCTCTATCAAAAGTTTGCAGCAGCCCTATTTGTCACTAAGACATCGACACTTGCGACGTGTAGTAACAAGCAGCCGGTACGAATCGTTCAATTTTGCGAACTTATATCACGAACGGTGAAAACGAAAAAGGCGGCGAGGCAAAACCGTGCTATTGCAATTTTGAGGATCAGCCAGCTTTAGTCTTTCCAGGAAAGCGGAGGGTGAGATTTTACTGGAGCAACAGTCGGTGAAAATAGCGTTCTGCCGTGCTAAGGAAAAACGCCGTATGAACATTCGAGAGTTGCCAATTTTCCTTCAATAATATGTTTATTTTTGAGAAAAGTTATGAATATTCTTCCTTGAAATTTTCAGGAACTCCGTGTGACATTGCAAACAACATTATCTGAAAAATTGGAAGAAAAGTATTTATAAGTTTATCAGGAAATTTGCGTTTTAGAAGTGGAAATGTGGCAACGCCTGAAGGTTCTTACGGTGTTTTTTCTTAATACGGCAGTGCCAGGGAAAAATGTCTTATGAGCATTCAGATGTTGTCAAATTTTCTTTCAAGGAATATACATATTTGTAGGAAGTTGTGAAAAGTTTTCACTAGAGCCCTAAATAGTGAGAGTACGAACAAGTCGGTAATTTTGAGGGTAGGGTAGGTCATGTAGCTTTTAGGGCCCAAAAGGGATTAAAACCTATGAATTAAAACTATCCAGAGTGATTCGTCATCACAATTATCGTTACGAACTGTCGTTTGTAAAACACGTATTCGACTAAAGCTCCGCATATACGAGGCTTAAGCGCAAGAGCTTAAAGGCTGAGCGATTACTCTAACGCGAATTGGAATAATCGCGCCAATCGCAGTGCGGTCAGCGTGAAACTCATGTATACTAAAGCGCCTACAAGATCGTAGAAATACTTCACGCATTGCGCCCAACACAGTGCATTTGACGCAGGGTGGCAAATTACCATGAAAAATACAATCTTGAAATTCCACGTGAAATATTTCATGAAATTTTAGAATCTATGAATGATATCGAAAAACACCGGGTTTTTTTCATGATTCGCAAAATGTAAACACAGTGACTATCCCCTATTTTTGTGTGTTTAAGTGCAGGTTGCATACTCTAGCCCCTGAAAAATATGAAATATTTCACTGATATTCGCAACCTTTCATTCCTTTCTTACGTTTCATGCCACCCTGATTTGACGTGACACGCATATAAGCGCCTACAAGACTGAAGAAATACTTCTCGCGTTGCGCAACCACATCGCTGCGCACTTTAACCGTTGAACATTCGTGTTTTCTCGTGTCAGAACTAGCAAAAATTTACCTCAATATCTAACTACACTGGGAAAAAAAACATATTGGATCTAGAGTCCCGACTCTTACAAACATCGACAAGAAAAAATAATCTTCATTCAATCGGATTTTTGCTTAAATCAATAACCAAGCCTCTTTATTTGAGCGGATTTCCTTTTGATTTAAACTTAAATCTGATTGAAGCAAGAGTCCTTTTAATTTACCGTGTCGATTATTTCACCGTGTCGATTACTTCACCGTGTCGATTATTTCACCGAGTCCATTATTTCACCGAGTCCATTATTTCACTTTGTTGATTATTTCACTATGTCGATTATTTCACTATGTCGATTATTTCACTATGTCGATTATTTCACGGTGTCGATTATTTCACTATGTCGATTATTTCACCGTGTCGATTATTTCACTTTGTTGATTATTTCACCGTGTCGATTATTTCACCGCGTCGATAATTTCACCGTGTCAATAATTTCACCGTGTCGATTATGTCACTAAGTCGATTATTTCACTATGTCGATTATTTCACTATGTTGACTTTTTCACAATGTCGATTATTTCACTATATCGATTATTTCACCGTGTCGATTATTTCACTATGTCGATTATTTCACCGTGTCGATTATTTCACCGTGTCGATTATTTCACCATGTCGATTATTTCACCGTCTCGATTATTTCACCGTGTCGATTATTTCAGTATGTCGATTATTTCACCGTGTCGATTATTTCACCGTGTCGATCATTTCACTACGTCGATTATTTCACTACGTCGATTATTTCACTTTGTCGATTATTTCACTATGTCGTTTATTTCACTACGTCGATTATTTCACTACGTCGATTATTTCACTATGTCGACTATTTCACTATGTCGATTATTTCACTATGTCGATTATTTCACCGTGTCGATTATTTCACTATGTCGATTATTTCACCGTGTCAATTATTTCACCGTGTTGATTATTTCACCGTGTCGATTATTTCACCGTGTCGATTATTTCACCGTGTCGATTATTTCACCGTGTCGATTATTTCACTATGTCGATTATTTCACTATGTCGACTATTTCACTATGTCGATTATTTCACCGTGCCGATTATTTCACCGTGTCGACTATTTCACTATGTCGATTATTTCACCGTGTCGATTATTTCACCTAGTCGATTATTTCACCGTGTCGATTATTTCACTATGTCGATTATTTCGCCGTGTCGATTATTTCACCGTGTCGATTATTTCACCGTTTCGATCATTTCACCGTGTCGATTATTTAACCTTTTCGATTATTTTACCTTGTCGATTATTTCACTTTGTCGATTATTTCACTATGTCGATTATTTCACTATGTCGATTATTTCACTATGTCGATTATTTCACTATGTCGATTATTTCACTATGTTGACTATTTCACTATGTCGATTATTTCACTATGTCGATTATTTCACCGCGTCGATAATTTCACCGTGTCGATAATTTCACCGTGTCGATTATGTCACTAAGTCGATTATTTCACTATGTCGATTATTTCACTATGTTGACTATTTCGCAATGTCGATTATTTCACTATGTCGATTATTTCACTATGTCGATTATTTCACCGTGTCGATTATTTCACTATGTCGATTATTTCACCGTGTCGATTATTTCACCGTGTCGATTATTTCACCATGTCGATTATTTCACCGTGTCGATTATTTCATCGTGTCGATTATTTCACTATGTCGATTATTTCACCGTGTCGATTATTTCACCGTGTCGATCATTTCACTACGTCGATTATTTCACTACGTCGATTATTTCACTTTGTCGATTATTTCACTATGTCGATTATTTCACTACGTCGATTATTTCACTATGTCGACTATTTCACTATGTCGATTATTTCACCGTGTCGATTATTTCACTATGTCGATTATTTCACCGTGTCGATTATTTCACCGTGTTGATTATTTCACCGTGTCGATTATTTCACCGTGTCGATTATTTCACTATGTCGATTATTTCACCGTGTCGATTATTTCACTATGTCGATTATTTCACTATGTCGACTATTTCACTATGTCGATTATTTCACCGTGCCGATTATTTCACCGTGTTGACTATTTCACTATGTCGATTATTTCACCGTGTCGATTATTTCACCTAGTC